GCTACGGATGGGGGCACGGTCGCGGAGTGGAGTTTGGTTAGGGAGGGGTTTTGAGTTGTTGAGTTTGATGGGTGACGAAGCTGCTGTACATTGGGGAATGACCGCAACGTTGGTACTCGTAGATTACAACGATACTCTTGTGATTAGCGGATCTTCAACCTTGTTTCGTAACCACGAAGCTAGTACAATACCCAGCCCCAATCGTCTGGATCTCTCCTGGTATGCTGATTTCGTTCCAAAACCCGTTGACCATATCGTTCTTCATTTCAACCCCAACGTTCGAGAGGTCGCCACAGTTCCCGTGTTTACCCCAACCCCATGAGATCAATTTACCTTCTTTTGTTACAGCGAGGATGTGGTCCGACCCAACAGCGATCTTATCCAGAAGCGGCAGGTTGGGCGGTAATAACTTCCACATGTTCTCTTTGCCCCACGCGGTAAGAGTGCCATCGTCGAATAGTACAAAGATGGCGTGCCATGTAGCTCCGATGTCTTTCCAATTCTTGACGTGTTCGGGCATGTCCGAGATGATGTTGAACTTGTCTTTGCCGAGAAGATGGTGTTTACCCTGGGATGGGTCGCTGACCAGGTATGTGAAGTCCTTGCCACATACCACCTTCTTAGGTCTGAATGGTATACCTTCGATTGGGCTAGGCGCCATGCCTTTGCCGCCTAAAGGTATGGCGCCGTACAGTCCATCCCCAAGCTGACCGAGACGTGCTTTTCCCCAACCGTGTACTGAGCCACTTTCCATAATGGCGATGTAATGCCAAGCTCCTGCTGCGAAATCGATCATCCTGCCTCGAAGTAGAAGCAGGCTGGAACCTTCGCGTGAGCCTAGCTCACCCCAGTTGTTCGAACCGAACATCTTAATATAATTTGTTAAAAGTTCAGAGTCGTGCTCGTCAGGCTCGAGAGGCTCGACAGTCTCGACACAAGCTGAGGACTCGCATGTAGTGGCGGCAGAACTGTTGTTGTGGGACAACATCTGGAACGGTTCAAGTTGAGGTGTAGGATTTTCCTTCCACAGCTGATCTTTGCGATTACTACCAACACCATAGACCACGCCGCTTTTTGTGTGGAACAGCGTGTGATTGTCGCCGCCTCCGATGTACGATATCTCGTCCAGAGGTATAGGGCAGCAGCCGGTTGTAGGATTAAGGACTGGCGTTGGGGTGTCGACTATTTCGGCTGCTGGGATCCCGAGTTGACCTTCTCCATTACTTCCGAAAACGTATAGTTTGTGCGATGAATCTGTGGCAAGTGACGGGGCCACATAACAAGGGCAAGTTTTCTGAGAGCATGACATTTTGGTATGGGAGTAGTATGGTAATCAGAAATTCGGTGGGTGTCGCTGAATGGGGTTGGCGATGAGAGCGACTGGTGTGCGCGTGAACGAGAAAGGTTGGGTAAGGGTGCTTTGCTTTTTCAAACCCTCCTAGCACACACGCGATGAATAGAGCTTTCCAATCTCTGCTTTCTTACTTTCGCAACGGATGAATTATAATTGTGGTATACACAATTTTTGTTAGAACGCTGTAGCGCCTCGCAAATAAGTTTGTGCAGATCACACCAATCTGCATATGAGCGATATTAGAAGTGAGGCGCAGTTCAAACAGCAGCAGTAGCTCCAAAGATGCTGCGGATCAAAATCTGAAAATGCTCGTGGCAAGGTTGAAGATGCGCGGCTTCTGGAGTGGACGGCGCTAGCCCGCCGCGACGCTAATCGCTTACAGGGATAGCGGGTCCGTGCGCCCACTGAATTTCGACATGCAACATCGTCGGGTAACTTCCACCCATCGACGACAGCCAAACCGACCACGCCCACCCGTACTAACCGCACGCACATTCCACAGTCGCCCAACATGGCCTCCCAGAGCGTGCAATGCTTCGGCAAGAAGAAGACCGCGACTGGTACGCAAAGCCCGCCGCCCGACACCCCAGAGCAAGCAGAAGAACAAGGCTAACAATACCGCCCACAGCTGTCGCCCACTGCAAGGTACACACGCAATGCCACGATCGAACGCGCATCCGAACAGCATACTTACGATGAAATTCTAGGCCGGAAAGGGTCTCGTCAAGGTTAACGGAAAGCCTCTTTCCCTCGTCCAGCCCGAGATCTTGCGATTCAAGGTCTACGAGCCCATCCTCATCCTCGGTGTTGACAAGTTCGGTACGCACACACGAAACCCCAGGGAGGAAGCTGCGAAGGAATTACGGGCAAAATACTAACATCATGGGCAGCCGATGTCGACATCCGCGTCCGCGTCTCCGGTGGTGGACACACCTCGCAAGTCTACGCCATCCGCCAAGCCATCGCCAAATCCATCATCGCCTACTACCAAAAGTACGTCGACGAGCACTCGAAGAACCAGCTCAAGCAGGCCCTGATCCAGTACGACCGCACACTGCTCGTTGCCGACAACAGGCGGTGCGAGCCCAAGAAGTTCGGCGGTCCAGGTGCGCGCGCCAGGTACCAGAAGTCTTACCGTTAAGCGGTATCACTTTTGGGCTTGGAGAGGAGAAAGATGGAGCGGTGTATGGGGGAGCATGGAGCGGTGTTCATCCTGGGCTTTTACATGGGGTCTTCTACTGTCTACTATCTATCTCCTTGAGGACAACGAGGTTACGTGACATGGCGCGCAACGGCTGCCTGGTACGATCCCCCGGCTTGTGACGATACAAAATGAATACATTGGTTGCAAGAACATGGACAACGGCATGTCGAGTGTGGGCGGTCATGAGATTCTCAGTGAAGCAGGATAAATGATTGCCAATCGACTCTTCCCCCGACGAAGTATCTAGACACTGAAGTGATACACGCAGAGCAAGTACACAGCTGTCAAGCCATACTATGAAGAGGGCAATGGACTCAATTAACGGTCTAACATTCACCATCTCCAACACCAACGCTCCCATGCATTAACACATACACACACACGCACACTAACACAAAGCTATCCTGCAGCCAACCACTTCGCCTTCTCGTCCTTCCAGGTACGTCCCTGGAGGTCAAGACTGTTGTTGGTATAGCCATAGATTTTGAGAGGCGAAGGCTTCTAACCATCGCTACCGCTGCTCCTAAACGCCGCACACAGCGCGGCATACTGGTGTGTGAGATCGAGGACGTGCTGGGGTAGCGAGGTACCCTGTATGATGCTGCGGATCTTGACGGCGCCTTCTTCTTCGATGAGTTTGCGGATTGTGTAGAGGAGGGACGGTGAGAACTGGGTGTTTGTTAGTTTCGTCAGACTGTTGAAGGGGTGGAGGTAGACTTACCTCAGAGTACCATCGGTACTGCCAAGTTACCAGTCTGATCAGCGCGGCTGTGACATCCCTGACTTGTTTCCTCTCCTCGCCCAGCTTCAGGACGCCTCTCATGGCTTTCGGTGAGAACTTAATTTGCAGGCAGTTCTCGTATGCTTCCACTGCCTCCTCTGTATGATGCAGTCTCTCGGCGAGTTCACCCAGGATCTCCCACTCCTCACTGCTCTTCTTGTACAGAAGTTGTTGCTGCCTGTACTGCGCCATCTCAGTTCGCCATATCGTGTATACGCGCAGATCCTCGTACAGGACCATGAAGAGGTTGTCGAGCCAGCGTTCGCAGAGGCGCTTGTTCTGGAAGTGTGTGTAGTTTGGTTGCGAGGGGTTGCCGTTGTTCGCGGCGTCGTGTGCGTGAGGGTCTTCGCTGCCGGCTTTCACAACTTCAGAGGCGACAGTGTGCATGGGCTTCTCGAGATCGTTGACTGCTTCGGCGGCCGCAGACGATGATTCGCCGTTCGTGTTGGATATCTCAGCGGAGGAACGTTCCTCGACTTCGCCATGGTCACCATTTGTTTGCTGGGCGTGTGTGTTTGGAGAAGGAGAACGGAGCGCTGTTGTGCTGGCGCTGCGAGAATGCGGTTGCTGTGCGGTCTTTTCATGGCGGTATTCCTCCTCCATGACGAAGACTTGGCTTCGTATCTTGAGTAATTGATCCCAGCCAATCTTCTTTGTAATCTCGGTCAGCAGAATGTAGGCTTTGAGGAAGGTACCCTTGAAACCCGCAGCGTGCAGCTTCCTCAGAGTTGGGTGCACAAGCTCCATATCGTCGATGTTGGAATCTTCAATCTCGTCGCACATGGCTTCTGGCATGACAGGCAGAAAGACTCGCTGTGGCTCGGGCATCCGTGGTGCGTCCTTATCCTGGTAGGTGAACATGGGACATGAGTTGAGAGTCAACAATGCCATGTCCCACTGCTCGAGGCTGACGTATATCTCTGCTAAGCGCGCCCATGTGCCAAACTCACTAGGTGCAGACACAACGCTCCTCTTAGCAATCTCAAGCGCCAGGTCGCCGCGGCCCTTCTTGTTGCAGAACTCGGCTTGGCAGTCGAGCAGAGAGTAATCCATGGGCAATTCTTGGATGGCCTCGTGTAGCAGTTGGACTGCCTGCACCTCCTCATCTGCCTCGATGTATACCCGCGCCAGTAGGGAAGAGATCTCCGGATCGCGAGTCCGCAATTTCTCGAACAGATTGATGCCTGAAGTATATCTACCGGTGGTATGAATGTAGTCGAGAAGACCCGTAGTCAAGTGGTTCGAGACGAGATTGGGGACTTGAATCTCGGGATCAGATCCTAATTGCCAGCCTGAATTGCGTTAGCGGAGATATCATCATGCAAGCGAATGTCATACCGTTGAAGAACAGGCGCTCTGCTGCATCCAGAAACTTGTGCTCGCTCTCGGTACTTGTGATGGGATTGAATCTCCGCACACCAACGATCTTCTTGATCGTGTCGCCGGAGCCATCGTCGGCATAAGAATATGCGCGCAGTACGCTACACAGGTAGGTCTCTAGCCAGAGTTCGTCGGTGGCTACTCGTTTGTCGCCGCGCTCATCGATGCAGTAGCTCTCCACAGTGCCAGGGATGTAGACCTGCACGCGCATGTCCAGCCGTGAGAAGGCATTGTAGCAGCTGCTCGGTCAGCAATTGCCAGCGCCGCAAGGAGACATTCCCCTACCAATACAGCCCAGAGACGACCTTGTTTTGCTTATCGTGCGCAGAGTATGTGAGGGTGTTGATGTAGGCTGCCAAGCTGGCAGACGAGGAAGCGTCTACGCCGGAGACGTGGTGGTAGACGCCAATCTAATCACATGTCAAATTGGGTTCGCGGCCACTGTGCGGTCGAAGGTACTACGGACCTGTTTTGTCGCATTCTTGATGGGCTGCTTTATCAGGTGGACCAGATCTGGCGGGCCCAGCTCTCGTAGGGTCTGCAGAGATTCTGAGCGCGCTTCGATTGCGGAGTGTAGCTCGTCCTCGTAGATTCTAGAGCCGTGTTAGAAGAGATTACAGCAGAAATGCGCCATGATGATGTGTTGTGACTCGAAAATAGCAGCAAGGATGCAGGTGGGCGCATATGTAAAACATGTGTAGATTGAAAGCTAGTAGGTTGCGCGTACTCGGGAACAGCTGGCGATGTGACCATGGCTTCTATTGGCGCCGCAAACGCGGGGGGACGATGGCGGTGAAGAGGATGCTATGGCGGGGGCAGGTTGCTGGCGGAGGGGCTTGGTATGTACTTCACAGCCCGGGCGGATGTTTGTCAGGGTTTCGGTGTCCTTGCTGAGTATGGAGGGCAGGCACGGTAGCTCATCGCGGAGGACCGCAGCTGCCAAGACGGGGCATCCCTGCGCACCATCATTCACTGTCGCGTCGCGTCACACCGAGGCCTCACGACGTGTCATAGGCCACAGCCCAGTCGCATCCCACCTTCTTTGTCCACACCATCGTCGCGCCTTCCATGGTTGCCTGCTGCTCAGGGTCTGTACCACCAATGCTGTGAAACGTCTCTCATTCGCCTGTCGGCCTTTCCCAACTGCCTACAACCACGCACATCTCGCATCATGGTAAGTACAACCCCGGCATTCTCAACCATGCCCGCTCACATATCGCAGTCGAAGGCCTCTACATGGCATCCCTACAATGTCGAGCTCCCCGAGGAGACCGCCGAAGAAGAAGTCGACGATACCCAGGAGATCCAGATCGAAGAGGCGCTGAAACTCTACCAAACCGCACTCAAATACCACTCCGAAGGCCCTCCCTCGTTCGACAAGACCGCCGCAGCTTACAAAGCTCTCTTCGAATCAGAGATTTTCAAATACGCCGAATCCCTCTCGGAATACCAGCGGCATGAGGTCTTTGGCGAAGACCTGGTGTTCGACACCATATTGGAGGACGACTACGATGCAGGCCCCGTCCAGTCCACAGGCGCTGCCGACAGCGCCCCCAACACACTCCAGCAAATACTGCACCTGTCATACAAGAACCATGGCCAGTTTCTGCTCGAGGCGATGCAGCATTGGATCGCTACCAGTGGCGTGTCACCGCAGATGGAGGCATGGAACAACACACGCGGCGCCCTGAACTACTTTGCCGAGGCTTTGGACAAGGAAGACACCGATCTGGATCTCTGGCTGCGTGCGGCATCTGTCGCGGCTATGCTGGGCAGCAAGCGCCTTACTCGCTACTGTCTGGAGGCAGTCTTGGATGGAAACGACGAGCAATGGGAGAGTCTGTTACGGCTTCCTGGGCTGGAGGAGGGTTTTGCCGGACAACAATTGCGCGAGCTCGTAGGACGCCTGGAGGACAATGTCTCACTGAGCCAGGCGCCACTATCCTCGATCAAGCGCAAGAAGCTTTCCGAGACGCTGAAGAGGCGCCTGAATCCATTTCCGTTTGCGCCCCTCCCAGCCGATGTCGCCCTCGCCGAAAATCTACACAACATCAAGGTGGCACCGGAGAGCGTGACCTTGACTCCGACCAAGTGGGACTGGGCAGGAGTGGGAGACATCATAGTGCGGCAGTTCCTCTCGGAGCAACAGGGCATGACGCCCAACGTACCTTCTGGTTCCAACATAGTCTTCAGCATACCACCCGAGAGCGAGACTCCTGAGCGCATCGAGTCTGAACCACCCGCACCAGTACAGGAAGCCTTGATGCCAGCACCTGCGCCCGCTCCGACCCCGTCGCCACAGATCGAAGAACCCAACGCTACAGCGACCGAAGCGGAGAACGTACCAGAGAGGGATGGCGAAGATACCATAATGGAAGAGCAGGAGGTCGACGGTGAAGTCAGGAATGAAGAGACTGCACCTGTTGGCCCTTCCAATGCCGCACCAGTCCCGTCGCGCAAACGATCGACAGATTCTGCTGGTCTACCCGAAACCGCAGAGGGTGGAAGGTCACGCAGTAAACGCATTCGGGGTCGAGAGTCAATACTTGAACCGACAATTGGCAATGCAGCTCAAGAGGCTAGTAAACAGCTCGATACACAACTCGAACAGTACACATACGCAGATTCATGCCTCTATGAAATCCTCAAGGATATGTATGCGAAGCTCGGTGTTGAGGGAATGAAGGACCCGGATGAGCTGCGTAAGCTGGTCATGGCGCTCCCTGACGCGACTGCTACAGATCCCATTGACAAGGCCGCTTGCGATTTCTTCACGGGACTACGGAGCGGGCACGTCAAAACTGCACAAATCCTTCTCAGTTCCGAGTCTTTCGATCTCCTCGGTGCGACTAGGGAACACGGGCTCAATGCGTTTCTGGGATTTTCCAAGTCAAGTTCGAGTCAAGCTTCCAATAAACCTTTGCTGGAAAATCAGGGCTTGAACGCGTTCGCAAGGTCTGTCAACAACGGTTGGCTTTCGATTGAAGAAGTCGCATTTGGCTGGATTGAATCTCTGTTTACTCCAGGTTACTGCTCCACGACAGGAACTCAACCGAGTGATCAGTCAAGCTACCTACAGTTTAGGTGGGCGGAAGATCTCAAGCGAAACGTAGTACAAGTCATTGTTCGTATCGACGAGTTCATATACGAGCGCATGGCCGAACGCGTCGACAGCCTCAATCGGCGGATACTGGATGCTACGCATCGGTCTCAAGCGTATGAGCTCTCTGCCTTCGACAAGGCGCAGATAGAGATAGTGGAGGCACTGTTTGAGCTGCATCTCGATGTCTACTCTCTTATCAAGCATCCGCAAAGTGTAGTAGACGCCAGCACCCAAATCCTCCAGAGTGACCGTCTAGAGAGATGGGCTTTGCTCGCGCGGGAGGCTTTACAACTTCGATCGGACTGCAGACCAGGTCAGGGCATTGACGATCTAGGTTTGCGCCATATCTGGGCGACAGTCTTTCAAATGAGTGTCAACGACGAGGTGTTGCCGGAACATGTATTATTTGCCATGGCACAGTTGAAAGATATGTTTGAGCCTTTCGGCGATCACACGATTCAGATACAGAACAACGCCGTCATGCCGGAACTTTCAGTCGCCGCTATTGATCAGGAACTCGTGCGCATTAGTATGAAGGACTTCTTCCTCAAAGTCTTTGACCAAGAGGAACAGGACCCAGTGACGGTCATCGAAAGCCTGGAACCGATACTGGAGCTTGCGAACACAAAGGAGCCTAGTACCTCTCCGAAGCCGGACGGCTTGGAACATGACAGCGTTGATACACACAGCTCACCTACTGTAAGCACTGGCTCAGAACAGCAGCTCGATCGCGCCTCGCCTGTTCTGGAAATGCGGAAGTTCCTCGATTCTGCGAATGTCAATGTCCGACTCTCCCTCTGGAATAGGCTGCGCGTCGCATACGAAGCCATTGATTATCCTTCGAAGGTCTTGTCATGCTTCCTTAGAAGCATTGAGGCCCTTGTGGCAGATCTCAGATCTACAAACTTCCAGGAACTTCCATTACTAGACCGTCAACACAAGCTCCTAACCCGATATCGGGTTATCGACGACATGGTTGTCAAAATAATCCGCATCATCCGAGATGACGAAGCGCCATTTGCGTGCCTCTCATATGAGCATGTGCAATCGTCCATGTCCGCTATCGCAGAACTGCTACATATTATATCAGCCGCAGACATGCTCCGAGATCTGATTCGTGTCAATCACATCACCGTGCCTCGAGTAGAATCTCAGCCAAATGCGGCGTTCGCCAATATGATGTCAAGACTCGACGACATACATCTACGACTCTGGATCCTGCAGTACCATCTGTTCAAAGACGGCATGTCCCAAGATCCAGAGGCTTTCCCTACACCTTCTGACGATTTGTTCGATTTCATCCGTCATGTACATCATGCGACTGGTGTACGTGGCTTCTGTCACCTTTCCAACCGTCAATTCTTAAGGCTTGCAAAGGACGAGCTACTTCGCATGGATGACATCGTTGATGGTCCCAGCCACGCCACCGAGCTCTGCCAGGTACTCCACGATATGTATGGATTGAAGCTTTTCGTCGAGCCTCTGGACTGTCAGAGCTTTCAAACTACTCCAGACGTCCTTGACAAGAAAACTGCCTTCAGCATCTTACCTTTCGCAATGTCGCAAGCTGCTAAGGTCGATCTTAAGGACCTACCGAAGACCGAGCTCAAGGGTACCATCGAGAAGGTGCATGCTGCTCTCGGTCGGCCCAAACAGAACGAGGACATCACCTTTAACCGCAAAGTCATTTCCACTTACTTCAAATCGCCGGTCAATCCAGTGGCACTGTTTGGGTGTCTGAAAGGCGTTGGTTCGCTCGCCACCAAACATATTCCTGCTGACGAAGCTGTGGCTGCATCGAAGGGCTGGTACTATATGATGGGAAACATCGCGCTGAGCAAATTCCGATCGCAGAAACGTATGACCCAGGGACCGACAGAAGACCTCAACTACGCCCAAGCATTCTTTGTGCAGGACCTGGAGCACTCCATTGAACGGTGGGAGACCTGGTATCGGCTTGCCCAAGCCAACGACACGCAGCTTGAAGAGGCTGTATCTTGGAACGCAGACAAGATGAACAGCAATAGTGCCGAGGTGGTTAATTTCCAGCGTGCTGCAATCAATTGCTACATTATGGCTGTAGCCTGCGCTACCCGCGATGCTAACATCACGCCGATCGATCAAACCAAGATTGCACAGATGTACACCGAGTTTGGAAACCGCATGTACGCCTCATCTAGGGAACCATTTGGTATGGAAGCATTCCAGATTCGGGAAAGTGAAAAACGATTCTGCAACCTACAAACGAACGCATCCCTATACAAAGAGGTCGTATTTGCCCCACTGCATGCCTACACTGCTTGGAAATTCGCAAGCACTCTCTACAAGAGAGCCATCAAGGGCAATCCGAATAAGTGGTGGAACCACTTCATGCTTGGAAAGTGTGGTTGGAAGATGTGGGCAGCAAATGATGGTGCGACGCAATATGCCAAGTCAATAGGTGCACCACTACCCCTTCCGCGCGGTCCTTCCTGGGAGTCAGTTGTGGACGCATTCATCAGCGCCATTGAAACACTGCCAGGAAAGAAGGGGCGCAGCGGCGAGCCAGTCCTTGAGCCGCATTACAAGCTCGTTTCCGTCACACACAAACTCTTCCTTCGAGGAGCCATCGACCACGAGAAAGGGGCGGAGATCCTCGCGAACACTTCCT